TCCTAGTGACTGGTACACCATCTGATCTGCAGCCTATATGACTATGAGACCAGAAGAACTAGATGGTGCCCGGCTACCACTGTCAACCACTTGGAGGGGGATCTATATAGGAGATCCTTGATAGAGTGGAAGAACGCTGTGGAATAAAACTCAAAATCATTTGGAAAAGAAAAAAACAAAGAGGGACCAGGTTTGGTGGTCTGATAGAGCCTAGTTGAACCACTGAGACTATGGCCCCTAGCTACTCTTCAGGTCTGGAATTGAACCCAAACCTGTGGCTTCTAGCCAAACAAAAGACAGGCATATGAAGTGAACATTTACACTAGGTAGATACACTCCTTGGAGAGAACAATCATGGTAGAATAGAGGGGCTGTGTATGCACAGGGACATAGTGCAGCGGGCAGAAGTACATGGAGGGAAGGACACAGGGAAGAAGTAACTATGGGGAAGAAGTGGGAGGGGAGTTGTTGCATTATGGTAAACTGTGGTCAATGTCATGAAACAAAGTGTATGTGAACTGCTATATGGAAAGTGAATTTGCTCTGTAAACTTTCATCCAAGTCACAATTTAAAGAAAAAAAGATCAACATACAAAAAATCAGTTGGATTCCTCTACACCAGCAAAGAGATTGATGAAAAGGCAATCAATACCATTTACAATAGCTACAAAAAAAAAAAAAAAAAGAAAGAAAGACTTAGGAATAAATCTTACCAGGGATAAAAAAGAAAACTACAAAACATTACTTCTAGAAACCATAAGAGATCTACACAAATGGAAGAAAATACTATGCTCATGGTAAGAAGATTGAACATGGTGAAAATGTCACTACTACCCATAGCAATCTATACATTCAAAGCAATCTCAATCCAGATCACATCAACATTCTTTAAGGATATGGAAAAAACAATCAATTTTATATAGAAAGGAAAGAGACCTCAGATAAGCAGAGCACTACTGAAGAAGAACAAAGTAGGAGGTCTCACACTCCTGGATCTCAAAACCTACTATACAGCCATACTAGTTAAAACAGCCTGGTATCAGTACAACAACGGACACACAGAACTGTGGAACAGGACTGAGAACCAAGAAACAGATCCAGCGACCTATGATCAGGTTATCTTTGAAAAAGGGCTGAAATCCATTAAGTAGGAAAGAGATGATCTCTTTAACAAATGGTGCTGGCAAAACTGGATATCCATTTTCAGAAAAATGAAACAAGATCTGTACCTCACACCATACATAAAAACTAACTCCAGATGGATCAAAGACTTCAATGGCACATACAGTACTGTGTTGTCAGTGATGTCAAGCATTGACCTACAGGTGGATAAACAGTTGGACACGCTGAACTATTAGATATGTCTATGCAGGGGGGAGGGTGCCCAAGACCATGTATAGCGTTGGCAGACAATGTTTCTACAAGTGCATTGGTATGTTCTGTAAGAATTTCCAGGTATACAGTAGAGCTGACAAGGGACAAGGTTGTAATCACTTCTTGGCCACAGCCAGCTACCCACAGGGAGTGAGCAATTGGGCCTGTGGGCTTGGGAGCACGGTTGCAGGTGACATCAAGCTCACTTGGCATAATACAGTACACAAAAACATTGTTTCACATCCTACTTTGATGAGTAGCAACTGGGATTTTAAAAGCTTACAAGTGGCCATCTAGATGCAACAATGGGTCTTTCCTCATCCAGACCAAAGAAAAATGAAGAAAACCAAAGAAGCATGGAAACAATTAGTCCAAGGGGCTGGTATACCATGAGACCCTCAGCATATATGACTACAAGATCAGAAGAACTAGATGCTTCTTGGCTACCACTGTCAACCACTCAGAGGGCCATGTATGTAGGAGATCCTGGATAGAGTGGGAGAACAATTGGAACAAAACTCAAAATCATAAAAAAAAAAAAAA